AAACCTGATGTTTCACTTCCTCATCGGGTCCTGAACCTCCTGCTTTGGAGGGCCACATGGTGTTTTGTGCAACCTGCTTCAGAGTGAAAGCAGACGTTATTGTGACAGTCACATCTTCCAGTGGTTCCTGTTGTTTAGACTTTCAGCTTGTTGGGGTGCTCAGCTGAAGTGGTATGATTTAAGGCTGCAACTGCAGAAAGCATCCCACATCCTTGATAAAGCTTGTCAAGTGAGGTTGTCAGACAACCCTGTCATGACACTATGGGCCTGCAGCTTCTCAGCTGGTCCTAGCCATCACGCCGGTGGAGCACTTGCATAATCCTTGGCTCTGATCACACCCACCTCTTATTTAAACGCACCCAGATTAGCTATGTGGGGAACTTCTAACCAGCCCTGTTCCTTAGCAACTGAGCACTCAGACCCTCTCATTTGACAGATAAACATGTCACACTTCTTATAGTCAAGCCACTTCATGCTGGAAATGAAATGTCACAAAACTCAGTTGTTTGCTTTGCTGAAGACTGTAATATCCCCAGAATGACTGAACAGATTTGAGGCAGTTTGGTGATTGTCTGTCTTTTTATGTGTTTTTTTTTTTTTTGTCCTTAGAGTACAAATTTTAATAACTTTGTTGATCCCCTTCCATTTTTCATCTCGCACTATCATCAGGTCTAAATCTGAAATTGTTCAATACTGTGTTAATAACCAAACAGCAGAAAAACTGTACATTTATTGTATTTAGGGCTAACTAGCCAACGTTAGCATGCTAAGAGGCTAAACTTAGTTTATGAACGTAGTAATATCAAGCATTTTACCACTATTGTCATTGTGAATATGTTAGCATGCTGGTGTTGGTATCTGGCAGCCTCACAGAGCCTCTATCAAGGCTGTAGACTCTTAGTCTTGTTGACTTGTATTGGTTTTTTGTTGCTAGGAAGCATTGGGCAGTTTTGGGGCCCTCAGAGGGTTCAGTCATTTAGATAGATAGTTCTGGCCCTAGTTAGGATGCCCCCCCAGTCACTCACCAGCCTTCTGAAGGCAAACACATGACACCCATCTTAAAGCAAATAGTTTCCTTGGTGCTCTCAGCCATCTCTCTGTGAGCTCTTTTTTTTTGTCTGCATGGTTTCCTCTGAGTGCCACTAGAGGTCACAGCATGGGCCTCAGAGGCTTTGTTTCACCCCATAATGGCTCTATTCTCCCACAGCAGCAAGGACCTCCAAGCCTGCTATACATAGCACAGCACTGTAACTCACACAGGGGCAACATGAAGTAGATGCGCTGAGACATGGGAGTGCCCTTAGGTGTGCGTGGTGGTGAAATATTAATTAGTTCCCACTCATAGCACTGGTTTTACTGGTAAAAAGTCAGTAACCACATACGTGGTAGAAAAGAGGACATGGGACTTTACTATTAGCATTGATTAGTCACAGTTCTGGCCAACTAGAAGCAATAGATGATGATATGGTCAATTTTATTGGCACCTAAATTACTGAACAAAATAAGCTACAGTAAAGTGATGTGTTGTTTATTTTATTATATGCCCACAAAACTGCTGAGAAAGCTGTGTTCAAGTCAGATGTATGTTACTTAGGTAGCTATTTATCTGTATATACCCAGTACATACATTACATTCTGCTGTCTGTCTCTTGCAAAGTTGAATGATGTAGTTTGTTAGAGGAATGAACTGTGCAGCAGAGCATGAAATTCATCTCATATTCATTTGAGCTACATTATCTACAAGGAAAGCAAATAGAATTGCAAATAGCAATGCCTCATCAGACAGCTGGCTGGTGCAGGTGTTTCATGAGCAAACAAACCCAGGTGACCCTGTGCTGCACTCTGGTCGTACTGGGCAAAATGATCTGAGGTAAATCTACAGCATCATCAACTTACACTACATATCGACTCTACTCAGAAGTGAAAAGTATCTACTGAGTCTTTCTGGTTTGTTTTAAATGCAAAAAATAATTTTTGAAAGTACACATTCAAGTTTAATATCTTAATAATGTAGTTCTAAGGAGTAAAGAAAAAAACACCTCTTCTTCTCATATGACTGATTGACATGGAAAAGCAGCTCACAGTGGAAACACAAACCCCTAAAGTTCCAGTGACTGTCCCCCATTTCTGTTCTCATTCTGTTCAGTCCTCTCTAGGGCAACGGAGGTCAGTCTGTCACAAGGCATATGGACAGACACACTGACACTTATATTCACAAACATTTAGAGTTTAACCTGAGTTTTTTAAGACGTAGAGCTAACTAACTCTTACACGTATACCCGTTGCCAGCGATCATATTCACACTTGTCTTTGCCAACCACTGAACATCAGACCTCTGTGTAAAGCTATGTGTGTAAATTCTATAATGGACTATGGTTCTACATTTTTAGTTGGCTGCGTTTGATTTGAAGATTATAGTCTAGACTGTATACAGCGAGCTCTCCAGCAGTTCTCATTTTGTTTAAAAAGTTTTACTTTAGCTTTGTCTCGTCCTGCCTTAGTCAACACAGTGTCCAAACATCTTGTCCTGGTTTCATTCACATTCCTTTGAAGCAGAAGTCATTTCATAATCAAAAACACTGAGGTTGTTTGCAAAGTGATGAAAATAACAAAACCAAGTCACTGTTGTTTTATTATGTGAGAAAGATTTTGTTTTATGAATAGAATCAGAAGCAGAATAAACAGGCAGTAAACGGTGAATAGCATGAAATCATGCACTTCAGCTGTATACTGTACATCACCATACCCATCTCGCATTGTTTTACGCAACTACTGTACATATTAGGCCTGCAACTAGCAATGTTTCATTGTTCACCAATCTGCTCATTATTTTCTCAGTGAGCAGCATAATTATTCAGTTTTTTAAACAGTGAAAAGTACCTATTAACGTCTCCCAGGAGCCTGATAAGACCATCTGTCCCAAACTATTTCACTTTGCTGTTGTTTATGACAAAGAAACACATCAGAATCACACATTTAAGAACCTGGAACCAGAAAATATTTTGCATGTTTGCTTGAAAATGCCAAAATATTTAAAACATTACTTTTTTCTCAATTAACTCATTGATCATTTCAGCTCAGTTTTAAACTCTGTCCCCAAAGTAATTCTAAACACTTGTTTTCAGGTTGCAACTGGACTTTTTATTTGTACCCCAAAATTCTTTCTTGTGTTTGAGGGAAAGAAATGAAACATTGCAGTTGCTGCTGATAGAAAACAGAAGAAGGGAGAGAGAGATGAGTCCTGATGAGCTGTAGGGACTGAAGAAGAAAAGGAAACTTTCCAATGGGCCCTCATTCTTTCCAAGTAAAGTCATTCATAGGCAGGACATACAAGTTGTACAACCTTGTATCTGAGAAAAAGGAAAGACAAACGTGTCGCATTTCAGCGTTACAGGGAAAATAGATTTAAGGTGGGGAACGTTTCAGATAAAGATTTAGAGGTAGAAGATGGATCTGGCCGGTAGCAGGCCCAGCTGTTCCTGACCGTTTGTCTTGAGTAGAAAACGTGAGTTAGCTGTAATCAGATCTCAGCTGTGGTGAGATCATGCATGAGGCCTGCCAGCAACCGCACAAAGACCAGTCCACTCATAGGCCCTGAGCTCCAATACAGTCCCCCTGTGGCCCTCTACACCCCTGCCAGCTTAAATATCATATAGACTTTTTCAAGACTAATAGATGGTTTCCACAAGACAGTAGCGTCTGCTGCTCTGCAGACATTTTAGACATAGGTACTGTGTCCACTAGTTGTTACCATAGTAGTCTTATTTAAGTGTATATATATTTTCAATAAGAACGGTTCATAGTTATAAAAATGTACTGCAATAACAGTGAAAGGTGAACATGAAGCCAAAACACTGTGTGGCTGTTTTCTCCTCCCCATGTCATTATGAAATGATAGTTAGCTTTAGATCATTTAAACTGTGTTGACAAGCGATTTAGTAAAGTGAAATTACACCTGTCAGGTGACTGATTCTGAGTTCAAGGCAGAACAATTCAGGGAGAACAGGGCTAGACACTCCCAGCACACAGAATGAGCTGGCTGTGTATATGTCAGGATATACAGGATTACACTGAGTTGACTTTGTGACAGCTGCTCATACAGAACAACCAGGAAGAAGTCACAGGTGGCCTGAAGATGTCACACTTCATTTTATTTTTTTATACTTCCTTGTAGTCCTTAATGAATCAACGTTGTCTCTTCTCTCTCAGTGCCCAGACCTGCTCAGATGGACTTGAGATAACACCACCAGAGGTTCTACTCCGGTCCAAACATCCACCAGCCAGGGAGCATCCAACATTCAGCCAGAATGTCAGATCCCACTGAGCTGAACTCTGAAGGGATGGGGGCGGGGGCAGGCATGGCCGAGGCTGCCGCCTGTAGTTTGGAGATAGAGAGGAAGTACGATGTCATCCCTGCCGTCATCTGCTCCATGTGTTGCCTGTTCGGCATCATCTACTGCTTCTTTGGTGAGTTCCATGTCCCCTCACAGACCGTGATGTCAGTCAAGCTGAAACAGGATAATGTAACACTCTGTCAAAACGCCACTTATTCTTGGATGACTGCTATTTATCTCATTCCTCCCGACTCTTAGTTCCTAACTCCAACTCTCTCCTGTCCGTCCTCTTACAGGTTACCGCTGTTTTAAGGCTGTGATGTTCCTGTCTGGTCTGATGTTCGGCTCAGTCATCATTTTCTTGCTGTGCCACAAAGAACATGTGTTCGACACGCAGCTGAGCATTGAGGCCAGTGTGGGTATTGGCCTCGGTATAGGCCTGTTGTGCGGCCTGGTCACCATGCTGGTGCGAAGCGTCGGCCTCTTCATGACCGGCCTGCTGCTAGGCCTCCTCCTGGCCCTCGCTGCCCTGCTGGTCACTCAACAGTTCTACACTCCAACCACACTCTGGGTGCCCCTGGGGGCTCTCCTGGGAACAGGCACGCTGTTTGCTGTGCTGACCCTGCAGTGGCAAAAGCTCTTCACCATGCTCTCCACAGCGGCGTTCGGAGCAGCTATCATGACGGTGTGCGCTGATTACTTTGTGGAGCTGCTGGCACTGGGTACACATGTGTATGAATGCTTGCGCCTGACACCCGGGCCACCTCTGTGCTGGTACAGCTGGGTCATTCTGGGCATCTGGCCCGCCCTCAGCCTCATAGGAGCTCTGGTCCAGTGGAAACTAACAGATAACAGCTTCTCACATACTGAAGGTAAGGATAACATATCCCAACACTGTTCTGTTGTAGAGGTGGGTCAGGGCCTGTATTTATCTCTCTGAAAAAGAATCACTGAGTGTGAAAAATAAGACACATGTATCCAGTGACTTCCTCCTACTTAATGTGTAAGAGAAACGTGTAAAGGTGACTCTGAAGTGATCACATGATTGATCACGTGTATCCTAAGAGCAGGTTAAGCCAATCAGAGATCAGAATTAAACCTACATCTGCCACTTCATTCATCCATGAATTCAGTCCTTAAGTTTTCTCATTGATGTTATTAAATATACTGTATGATTATATTAGTTTAATACTTTACGAAGTTCATGTTTTTACAAAATCTTTCATATATACACTACTGACTAACATGAAACTGCCAAGAGTCTAATGTATCTATAATTCATAAATATGTAAATAGGGAAACAGAAAATGACCTGGAAACAAAAACAAACTGGAACAGGAATGCTACAGCAGACCAGGCCCATCAGAGAAGACAAATTTAGGGCCACACTGAAAATGAAGATGCATTAAAAATGATAGCAAACAGAATCACAGCAGCGTCTCTGTTCTCCAGACCCAAGTCAGAAGGAAGCGCAGCATGATGTATTTAAATAGGTGGATTTTACTGTCCCATTTTCACTTGATTTAGCAGACAGTGTGGAAAATCTTAGTTAATGCACCTTTAGTCTTCAACTTAAGCCCAAACCTTAAACTTTGAGCAGTACAGGCCTGGGTGTTTTAGTCAACGTACAAACATTTCCTGCCTGTGAATTGTTCCCTTCTTCTCATAGTTGTTATCAGTCGGAGACAGAAGAGAGTCCAGCTGATGCGAATTCGAGAGAAGGACACCAAGAAGCGACAGCAGGCAGGTGGGCAGGAAGGCACATACCGCCGTAAACCCACCCCAGTAAAACGTTACGCTGGGGATCTACTGGCGCCGGTCAGTGTCTCCCGACATGGCTTATGGTGTAGCTGCTGATTGTTGTGTTTTTATGGCGTGCTTACCAGCGCTGACTTATCTCTAGGCTTGTTTTAAATTGAGACACCCCACTGGTTATGTGTATCTCACTCACCTGCCTCATCTCCTCCTCCCAGAGCTACTTGCAAAGCCTGCGGGACAGACAAACAGGCACAGGCACTTCCCTTAGCAGCCTGGGCAATGCCAACCACACTATGATCGACTTGGACTACGACACCGGGTCCACTGCCCCCCTCACAGCTACAACCCCAGTCGCCAGGGTCTGAGCAGCCCAGACATAAGAAGGGACTTTGGATTTTCTCCTAACAGTGCGTGTTCAGTGAGAGAGCGCTGCTCTTCGGGGAGAAGGAAGAAGGGTCCAGCTCCTGTTTTGTGAATGCTGTGTTTCTCAGAGAAATACTAAAGACAAATACTATAACAAAGTAAAGTAAGGTCCTTCATTTCCTTTCATCGTGTATTAGCTACATAACAGCAAGTACGAGCCTCAGATACAGACGTACTTCTGTCTCGGCAGTGAATATGTTAAAGCAGTTTGACATCACGTGTACTGTACTTAAAAATGTAGTCATTGCTATAGAGTGTTATTGTGTCCTGCCTTACTGTTAAATTGTGTGGTGGTAGAATGTGTGTTATTTCTTTAGACGGAGTGTGGTGAAAGAGTACGTGGAGTATGACAGAGTGAAGCAAATAAAGACCAGTTAGTATTTAAAATCTATGTGCAGGAGCTTTCATCAAGACATTTTCTAGAGACACTAATAATTCTGTGACATTTTATTGTTGTTGCAGTGTAGCTCCTGTCAGATTACAGTTGGTGAAGAATGTAGTCTGCTGTGTATGCTTGTGGAGAAACTTTTTATAATTTAATTTATATATTGACAAAGTACCCATAGCGTTGGAAAAAAAATGCAAAAAAAAAAGAAAACGTTTGTTGTTAATTTGTAGATTGTTGTAGATTTTTAATTATCCACATTGTTTGAATTTTGCAGGAGCACACTTGTTACCTGAATCTGTACATATGTGTTGATAGAAATGTCAAAGATAAATCAACGTGTTTGATACAAAACGTGTTTTACTCACTGGCTGAGTCAAATCAGTTGCACTGTTTGTCTCTCTGGGCTCTTAGCAACACTGGCAGTGTTACTCACCAGATTTTTCATAGACAATAAAGAGGTCATGGGGAGGGTTTCCTACTCTGCAATTGGTCGGGGTTTCCATGGTGCCTTCAAAGGTTTTTTTTTTTCCTCACTACAGACAAACACACATGCAGAACAGACCAGCCTTTCATCATAGTGAACATTACATTACATATTTCTCTCTATATTTTTGGTTTGTTTTTTTTGAAAGGGAGCCACTTTACTGGTGACAGGGCACTGCAGAAAGACAGTTCTACTGCTTGACATTGTCTTGTTTATTAGAATAAAATGTTAGTTTCACTTAAAAAAAATCAAGACATGATTTCTCACAGACTACTGTGATTCACAAGGTAGTGGAAGTGTTTAGTTACATTTAAGAGCACTGAACATAATCGTTTGGTTTAACAGAATGTTAAAACCTGACCAGAAAGCGCACGCTCCCATCAACATATGACATTTAACTGAAGACCCATAATTCAACACGTCAGAGAGAAAAACAGAAGGCCTCGATTTCTCCCTGAGATCATATCCTGTAAAAGCTTATATAACTCTTGCTGTGACAAAAACACATTGATGCTCAAGGAACAAGCCTCACCAAAATCAGCTTGCTTTGGGGAGGAGGAGCCAGCTCAGATTCAGAGAAGTAAAATCAATTCCTACACTTTAAAAAAAAAAAATCATGCTAGATAATTCACAATTGATCACAGCTGTTGAGGTTGTGTGGTGGCCAGTGCCCCTGGAGTGGAACCAGCACCCCTGCTGTAGACCACTGGTGCCTGCTGCCCCCTGATGGTCCATCCTTAGCATCTCATCCAGCGCTCCTTCTTGCTCAGCGGGTATCCTCTGTCAACTCTGAGTAGCTCATTGACTCGCCAGTAGTCATCTCCCTTAAAGAAGAAAATCTTGCCGTTGGTCCAGGTGAATGCTGCATCCGGACTAGATGGCACTCCGGTGAAAAGCATGGAGAGCGGTTTGGGGTAGAGAGTAGTGTATGTGTGCTCATCCCACTGCCAGTGTTGTGAACCCTACACAAGTGGATAGTAAAGACATGGGATAAAAAGTACATTTCTGCAGGGTGTATATTACTGTGCTGCTGATTGTCACATTTGTTCATACGTACCTTAATAAAGACCAGCTTCTTGTTCTTATCCAGGTATAAGGCTGCATCAATGTTAGGAGGGAGCTGTTTCACCTGTTTGGGGTAGCCATAGTCCAGCAGGAACCTGGTATACCTCCACACCTGACTGCCTGTGTTCAAAAACATTACAAACATTTACACTGGACCCACGGCTGGAAAACACTAGATATACAACAGAAGTAATAGACAACAGCTCAACTGTACCTTTCAAAAAGTATGTCTTGTTGGTTCTTGGAGAGTGCACAGCTGCATTCAGGTTTCCAGGTAGCTCCTTCCACAGCCTGTTAATTTTTATTGGTGTATTGTGTCCCAGATCAGAGATGGTCCACACGTAGTCACCACTGAATGCAAAGGTTTTCCTCCATGGACCTGATTGAACGTACAGTGAGCTCTATCTGTGGTCCTGCTGTTGCACTAATAAAACTGCCTTTGTTTGATAGTACAGCAAATATCAATTTAGGAGCATCATCATAATCTCCTTTCCCTCATACATACAGGAGGTAGACAAAAATAATGTAAACCTCTCACCATTTTCAAAATTAGGTTTTTGGTTTGACCTCAGTCGGTTATTGTCTCCCGATGTTTTGAAAACTTACACTTCAACATGCTATTTTCCAGACTTTTATTGAGGCTCACAATTGCTGCTAATTTGATTTATTTATAGAGGCAGGGTTTCACTTGTAATCATTCTAAAAACAGCTGATTTGTAACTTACCTAAAATGATAGTGTCCAGCGTGGCGGTGCAGGGGTCAGGGATAGTCACACTACCACTGCCGCTTTCTGTGTCAAACAGACTGTCTGCAGTTGTTGGACTTGATATAGTGCTGGTGACCCGTTTGCCTGTAAAACAGAGAGGTTTTAAGATGAATGCATGCCCTTATTTTATGACTGCAATAACAACCGAGTACATTTTACTACTGCTGCTTTTTGATATTTGTAATTCAGAGATACCATCAAGATAAAGCGATTAAAGAACAGTCATGTTTCAAACCTCAAACCTGATTGTGAACTCTAAGTTTCTATAGTTAAAGTCTGCAAACATTTTGATTAAAATACTAAAAGTAAAAGTACTCATTATGCAGAATGGCACATTTCACATTCCTGTATATCATACAGTATTATTGGTTTATAATTACTGATACATTATTGTGTACATCACATTTAATGGTGCAGCTGGTAAAGAGGGAGTTTTAACAAGCTTATATGCTTATAATTTGAATTAGGTTAGTTTGTGAAATGTCCACCATAAATCAATAAAGTCTCATGATTATACCATACTTTTTTGTATTAATCTTATTCTGAAAAGTGACTAGTAACTAAATATAGTGGAGTAAAAAGTCCAATATTTGCAGTAAGTACAGTAATTGAGTAAATGTACTTAGTTACTTTCCACCACTGTGCCCAGTGACAGTATGTACTGATTCCATGTGCTGGAAGGAGAAAATCATGCTTTATATTCTAAAATACAAGGAGTCTGTTTTATTAATCATTCATATAAAATGTAACCCCTCTGTTGTTTTCTACAGTGGCAGCAACACCATCAAACAGAGGCTTTTAGGTTTTTGTATCTGCAGGTCAGCAGCACAGAGGCACCAACAACAAAGTACAAGTTTGAGTCACCAGTGCTGATACATACAAATACAAAAATACTGCCACAAAACCATCAATGTCTTATTCTTGACAGTAATGCTCTAAATTCAGCACTATCATCTTGTTGGGCCTTCTTGATATACTCACCGTATAGCGCCTGAATGCCTCTCACATCATCGAAATGCAGTGCGAAGTTAGCACGGTACCCAGAGTAGACCGCTGCCATCAGAGCACTTTTGTACTGAGAGTGACCCAGGCCGAGGGCGTGGCCGATCTCATGGGCAGCCACAATACGCAGATTAGTACCATAATAACTTCTCTCTGTCCAGTACTCATCCTCATCAAAATGGACAATACCAGATTCTGGTGACTCAGCATGAGCCAACACGTGACCTGCAGGTGGTACAAATAAACACTCTGTGTTTCAGGGGCCAAGTGACAGTGGGCCGAGTAACAGTAGGTATTTACAGAGAAAACTCACCACGTCCATCAAACGGAACAGGGCAATAACCATCTTTCCTGTGGAAGGAGATCTTTATGTCCGCTCTGCCGTAGTTGACCTCCCTGAAGGTCAAAGCAGCCACATCACTCCAATACTTGAAGGCTGAGTGGATTGCTGCCCTGACATCTGTCTTCTTCATGTCAGGTGTGTAGTTGTAGATGCGGTAAGTCAGACTCCTTTTTCTCCAGTGACCTGAAAGTTTTCCACTGTGTAAAACACTAAAAAATACTGCCATGCACAGTAGTAGAATCAAAAAGCCACTCCAGGGAACTGTGTGTGAATACTGATGGTGTTTGCTGTATATGTAAGTACACTACTACTTGCTAACTAGCCAGTCATACTAGGGTCTGCTCCCCAGTGGTCAGATATTGATTTATGTGGCTTATTACTTTATTATAAAGTATTACTTTATTAATTACCTTATTACATATAATTATTACATCCAGTAATTTTACTTTAATTAATGCATAGCTTCTTGATCCATGATAAAGAAAATCTCACCCAACACTCTGTATCTGTGAAATTTCTTGTTAAAGGGGTCCTCCATGCCACAGCGGGGCTGTCTCATCATATCTAGGGTAGCTTCATCTAATTCTCCAGTAGGTGGCAGATCGTTCACCCGTTGGAATACCCTGGAAACAAGAGGTGGTGAACATCTAGAACATGATTGCACATAAGAGGGACTGCCGGCATCCTCCTCCCCACTGTCTTGGTATTGTTCCAGAACACCCTTGTATGCTGTAGATCTACCACGCACTGTGATATTAACTTAATGTCAGCAGCTGCCTGTGTTTCTTCCTCAAAGGACAATGGCCTGTTTTACCTGAGAGCTTCAATGATCTCCTCCAGGTAATGAGGATCCTGTATATCAGCAGGGCTATTCAGGTAACCATACTGCCTTAAATATGTCTGTAAATGTAAGAAGACAACAAAGCTCTCGTGATAAGAATACTGTAAGCAAACTTTCACAAAAACTAAAACAGCATGTCTATCTATACAGTCAAAAGCATCCTGTGAATCGCTGTGTTTAAACAATATCATCTTACCTCTGCTTCATTTAATTCTGCCCATTGCACCACTGCACAAAATGCTCCACTGAAGTTGAGCACCAAAAGCAGCACCAACAGCCCCATGCAGTCCATATCCAAGTTTCTGTCGCAAGTATTCAGGGCTGAAGCTTTAAAGTTGGAGAGGTTCTCAGCAGAGTCCCACAGCTGACTCTGCTCACTGAGCCCTTCAGCGGTTTTTAACTTGGCCCAGCACATGAGTCAGCCCTGTGCCTATGATGATACACTCCTGAAGAATGAGGATATCATGAGCAGCCAGTTGGCCTGCAGCCAACATGTCTGCCGTTAAATTGTGCAGGTGGTCAGAGGGGATGTGGAGCTCTAGCAAAAGTCTATACACTTAACTAATTTATAGTGTTAACAGGCTGTAGAAAAGTAAATCTCAGGTCAGATTTTTACAAGCCTATGGAAAGTGGTTGCTGAATAAGAATATCACTTTAACAATCCCATGTTATTCCTTCAGAATTATGGCCTTTGTGTTGATCCCCTGCTGTTAATACAGTAATATGTTATGTATCACAGTTCAATAATGGGCCTAAACCACAGGAGGTGCCATGTTTCCACATGGCTATTCCATCTGGGACAAATATTTGTTTTCAACTCATGAAAGCAAATGCATCCATTATTGGCCCCATCCCTGCTGGCAGGCCATAAAGTATGAAGATAATATGTCAGGGCTGTGGAATTGTCAGCTTTTTGTGGAGGTTTTTCTGCACCCCTAAGAGTCAGAAATTCATTAATGAAGCTTTAAGTCAAATCCTTGAAGTCTAAACAGAAAGGGTGCCTTTGGCAGTAGTCTATATACAGTAAGCCTATTTCTTTTTGACCCCAACAATGAACCAGTAATTGTTGTATATCCTACAAGCAGCAGGTTTATGTAAATAATGATATCTGTGAGCAGGTATTAGCAGGTCCATGCTTTTAATCTGTGTTTGTGTATTGCATACTTTTGTTTTTGTCAAACAAAGAGACTATTCCACTAATAGATGCTCAAAAACTGGAAGTAAAGGTTTAGGTGATGAGGTCAGTTGATTATTGTTATTTAGCTGTCATCAGCAACTTTTGAAACTATTTCCACTGAAGGAAAACTATTATGGTTTTGGCCATGTCAGCCAGATCCCTGTTTGACACAGGAACAGAGAAGCAGTGTCATATTTTTGATGATGTCACTGATGATACTGTATGTTTGCATCTGTGTCGATTTAATCCAAACCCTCGAGCAACATAAATTCTACACAAATAATGTATATTTAGTTATGGATGACAACAGTTTGACATTGTTGTACTCATAAATTGTATTTATACCTACTTGTAAAATGTAGTACTGTTCTGTGTAGAATGGGTACAAATGTTGCAGTAGCATTAGCTGGCAAAACAGCTGGTGTCAAGATGTTAGTGTGTACCATGCACACTAAAACCAGACACTAACACCAGACGTTTGTCCTTGGATGCCAACTGCAGAACTTCAGTCCACATTTTCCAGGAGAGAAGAGAAATAACATTTACCTTCTGCATGGGATATGACCACTCCCATCTCAGCCCCCCCATTACAGTAGGTGTTACTGGCCCTACCATTTATTTGCATATTAGCATCAAGCTAAAATTACTCATACATTTAGGTAATGCTCCTTTTTCTTTAATATATTTTTCTTACAGAAAATCCTCTAACAGCTTTGGTCTGCCTCCATCATCATTCTGCACATTCCTCACTACCTCACAACTTACCTCACAGACAAAGTAAATGAAAGCTGTTGCACCGTTTGCATTCACACAAAAGTGACACTAAAAGTCAATAGTACACAATTAAATGTGCCAAAGAATGGGAGAGCATTCATATGGAAGCTCAGTATACAAGCTCAATGATGTTCTCCGATTAATTGGCCCCAAAGAGGAGGTGTCAGGCCATGCCGTCATAAATATTTAGAGCCCCACAATAACCAACTTAATTTTCCATACCTAACCTTCCCTTAACACAAAGCAAATCCCTGAACCCTGTCCTCACCCAAGCAAAGAGCAGATCTGTGGCTTGACACAACATCTGCACTGTATTAGCTCAGGTTAAGCTGTGGTTGGTCCAACTGGCTTGTAATGGCACCTCTGAGAGACAGGTTCACTCAGTTGTCCAACCACTGACACTGTTTTACCAACATTGTCTAACAATTCCAGTGAGTTTGTAGCTATATTATCACCAACACCAGTATAAGTTCTGGGTGGGTGTAGGAGTGAAGGCAAGTCTACAGGGTCATCAGGTGGGCCTCTCACTAACTGGTGTTTTGTTGAGTTGGGCGCACGACACCAAGAAGGCTCAACAGTGTGTTCCAGAATACCAGAACGACCCCCCTCTTTGCCTTCACCCACACACCCAACACAACTGTTCATCATTGTCTAACAATTCCAGTGAGTTTGTAGCTATATTATCACCAACACCAGTATAAGTTCTGGGTGGGTGTAGGAGTGAAGGCAAGTCTACAGGGTCATCAGGTGGGCCTCTCACTAACTGGTGTTTTGTTGAGTTGGGCGCACGACACCAAGAAGGCTCAACAGTGTGTTCCAGAATACCAGAACGACCCCCCTCTTTGCCTTCACCCACACACCCAACACAACTGTTCATCTGCTCTCTTAATAATTTGGGCTCAATCAGGCAAACCTTTACCAGTCACCAGCACTAGCTAATATTTCAACTGTTGTTCTAGCCACCAAACATTTAAAAACATTTCAAATAGCTCACCAGATAACTAACCAGGCTTCTGCTTCCTTTTATACTGCATCAGAAACCACCCTGTGTTAGTATTCATTCCAACAAACCAGTCAAACCTCCAATATGCCCATATGTTAGCTTGCTCATGTTAGCACCAGGAAGTAGGCCTCAAGCCTGCTATTTTTACCCCATTCACACACCTTTCTTCTGCTCCAGACCCACTCCCTGGACCTTTCTGCGCTATCAGCTAGATTCTCAATTGCCTTTCTTAGGCTCCACCCTTTTATAATCTAACTCACGTAGCAGATAGACAGTTCACTTAGCTACAAATCCCCTACAACCAACCTCCATGGCGTGGACTTTAACTTTCCAGCCATGTTCCTCTGTCTCCATGGCTAATTGTGCATTTCAGTTTCAGCTTTATCTGCCTCCTCTTTACTGTAATTATTACTGTTGTGACAGAATCGCTATTACAGAACAAAAAAGCATGAACAAGCAAGCTGTGGGAGTACAGAATATGCTTTTTTGATGAGACTGCTTTTGCAACAGAGTTTAACCTTCTGCTGAGGTCTGATGTTTTTTCTTCTCCTTCTGTCATTTCTACTAAGACTCTCTGAGTAGTACATGGTTGTACTCATACCAGCGTCATGGCTTTGTCTCTGACACCAATAATGAACCTCAGTTCTCACAGCCTGGGTCAGCTGCAGAACTAGATAAACTTGAGCGCAGTTCTGCTGACCACAGTTTTAGTCATTTATGAGTCAGAGACAGAACAGGAACCAACATTTATAACAAACTTGGCTGTCAAACTACTTCATTAAGTCAGGATCCTCATAAACAAATTATTCCCACAGTATTAATCATGAATGGGAGGTAATGGAATATTTCTCATTCTATCAGATAAAACACACTCAGAGAAAACATCATGCAGAAGAACATCTATATTCCCTAATCCTGTTGAGGGCAAAAGGCCAGGCTACTCATCACCACGACAGCACCTCCCAGTTAATTAGACATCACATGAATTATGGACTGTAGTTTTAAAGCAGGCTATACATCTGTTACAGTTTTGGACTAATACCTACCCACATTAAATTTGATTTCAGGTGCCATAAAAAATAGTCCATTGTATCAGATTTTGTCCGGACACGACACCTCATCTTTTACACTGAGTTATCCTGCCTGTCTTCCCACCGCTCTCCTTCCTGTCAGCTGCAACATCATTTTTCAGGAAGCTGTCTGAGTCAGTTCATATCCTGTTTCCTCAATTATCCCATTTAAGAATCACTAAGAAAAAGCAGCTGGAGAAAATAACTTCAAACTTGGAAATCTTCAAACTAATTTTAGGTTTTAATTAACTTTGGTCAAATTAACAAAATCCAATAAACCACAATGGGTAACTAACAAAACATTTTGGACAGAATCCATATTTGCTTCTGAAATGTGATTTACAATATGCATAAATAATGAGATATAGTGAAAAATGTTCTGCTCTTTGGTTGAATTATTTGAGATTTTAGTCCTCAACCATGGAAGGATTATGAGACAATGGGCCTCTGGGCACAGACATGTAAAAGGCGCCCATGTCTTCTACATTGGAATAATACACCCAGAAATAATGTGGCTGCTTTGAGGTCATTTTGTGTCCCTTGTGCTTGTTTTGCCTCTTTATAGTTGTTTCATCTTTTGTGGTCATTTTGTGTTGTCTAGTAGCTATTTAGTCTCTGAGTAGAAGGTTTGCATTTCTTCATGACTGTTGACAGTTAACTGAATTTTAGCAAAGTTAACTTCAGCTTTCAAAACCACACAATGTGCCAGAGTAATGTCATCTTTTACATTTCCCACTTTGTACCGTCAAGCTTTTGAATATTTCCTGTGAGTGGGACTTCCAAGAATTCAAAGTGAGCAAACCGAGAAACCTGCTGAAATGATGAAGAAAAAAAAATCAAAAAGTCATGAGCAGCCCAAGAGTTTTCTAGTTTATATACAAAACCACATGGGAAAGTAAACATATTTAATCACAATGGACAATTGAAACAGCTGCAAAGCCGAGTAACATAAGAATTAGAATTAACTATTAGAACAACAGGGCACTGACACTGCACCGGTTTTAGCACCAAGCAGAAACGGAGTCAGTAGAAGTCCATTACTGTGGAAACTTTATTCATCATCTTCAGTGATGACGAACATTTTACATAGAACAGCGTTAATCACAGGACATCTGGCACCTCAGTAATTCAGCTGCTCTGACAGATTCAACTGTCATTAACACCAATATGACAGAATATCTCCATAACACTGAACAAGACATTTTCGGGAAAATCTGTGGTGTTATTCACATTCAGCAAAAATTCAGCTGCCAACACACAAATTCCCATCATTTGAATCGAAGCTGCTTCTGGTTTGGTAAACTCCAGTTGTTTTCACTGAAGAAAGCTGAACACTTCATGTAGCTTTAGTAGTCTTCATTTAAAGTAACAACTTTCTAACAAATGTTAATACTCCTCTACTAGATTCAATAATACTCATTTAATTTAGGTTTTTATATTATTAATTGTGTGAAATCACAAAGAAGTCAACCCTTTTAACACAGTGTGTATTCATCATCATTGTTAAGAATGTGGTGTGATTAGAAAAATAAACATTTTCTTATCCACAAATCACAGAGATTGAGAGTAAATACAATCACATGTTCAATTAAGACCAAAGTGTGAGTGAATCACTAACGAAAACTGTTCATCTTTTGGCCATTTACAGCCTTTAGCTTTGTACCACTGAGAATCCTCCAGGTAACATGACATAAAAAACTTCAAGACTATGTGTCAAAAATATCCTTCTGCACTAGTATGACTAAATACTGTGCGTGTCCTGTCGA